GCACCAGGTCGAGCGGAGAAGTTTGGCAGCTCGCGTCGCCACGGCTGCCTGCAGAGGCACGCGCGTCCCTCACGCGAAAAGTTTTCGGGCTCTAATTCCCTGCAGGAAGTTTGACTGTCGTGTGACAGCTTCAATCAGAATTACCAGCCCCAAAGCGAACGCGACGGGGAGAGCAGCTGCCAAAATTTCGAGCTGTTCAAATGCACTGGTTGGGGCGGGGGGGCACAACGATCATTTGGGATGTCCAGAGCCCGGAGCAAAGTTTTGGGGCACGTCGTGTTGCTGTGCAAACCGCGGGGAGGGCGTCGGGTTATAGCAGAGCGCGCTGCCAATTTAGGCCGTGTCAGCATTTCCTTTACGAGCTGCAGTTTTTAAGGGTTTGTTATCCCTGGTAAAACCAGAAATTCTGCACAAGTGGCAGGTTTGGAACAATATTTCAGGTAAAGAGTGGGGGCGTGTGTGAACGTGCGATTAAGCGATAGCAGCTCCAGGAGAGGGCTCGTACACCGTTTTGTGCTCTCCCTAAACTCATAAGTGATTTTGATTTCACAAAAGAAATTAAGCCGCCAAAGCTGGGTGCCCTGTGACGTCTCTCTCATCCCACAGCCTTGGCTGCGCCGAGGGCTTCCAGCCCGTTTCCGCGAAGCAGGCGGAGCAGACCAGGCGGCTTTTGGGTCACCTCACGCGAGCGTGGATTTGGGATTCAGACCTGCCCGGTGTGCGTGAAGGCAGGGGAGAGCCTCGGGGCCTGCGGCATCACGCCTGGCATCCAGGTCCACGTCCTGGTCAACAGGAACAGGTTTTGCTGGGCCTCCAGGAACGGCTCGTCGAGAGAAGGCAAGAACAAGAAAACGCCCTTCTTTCTGCGTTCTCCGTCCCGTTTCTCAGCAGCCGCGTTCATCCCTTACGCGCTGAGCCTCGAAAGCAGCGACTCGGGCCGTGCTGGCCTCAAGAGACCCGCGGCCTCACCCCTGGGCAAGTCGCTTGGTGTCTCAGGCCTTGTTGTCCCTCTCTTATTAAACGCCTGGGCGGGCTGGACGGGGCAAGCGCGTCTCCCCGCCGGGGATCCGGGCTGCCCAGAAAGAAGCACAGCCCGAGGATCGCCCCAGTGTTTTAACCTCCTTGGCCACGCAGCCAAATCCAGGAGAGCCGGGAGCCAGAGCCCTGCCTCGCTTTTTAGCACCCTGGGAAGGAAAGGGCCACTGTCGTCCCTCACCAGCAAGGGCCTTATTCTGCTCAAGCCAGCAGCAGTAAATATCTTTGTCTCCCGTTTGAGGCTGACGTGAGCTTTCCTTTGGGCATCCGTATCCCTACGGCTGTTTACCACAACCATCAGTCTCTGCTGGCTCTCCTTGCTTGCCCCTGGGCTTCTTCAGGCCCTAGGTCTGATCCCAAACGGCTTTTAGCCCTGCACCGTGGTTGCGTGATGGCCATAGGGCATGGAGGGGGGAGTGGGTACAGGTGGACGCTGGTGGGAGACCTTTCAGCCCTTCTGCTTCTCCCGTTGGGCCCAGCAGGCTACGGTGGTTCCCTCCAGAATACTCTCGCCGTGGAGGGGACATGAAGAGCTGGATTTTGCTCATCCTTACTTTCACCGCCACCAGCTTGATGGTGCCACCAAGAAGAGGCCACCAGGTGCTCAGCAAACCACTATGGTGTGGGGACTGGCCTCTTTGGGGTCCTCAGCCTCCAGCACTACTGCAGAGAAGCTCAGGTAAGGGATGATAGGGATGAATTACCTATTGCTTTGCATTTGGAGCCTGCTGGTAGCCTAGTAGCCAGGTTTGGGGTGGAGGTGAGGGGCTGGGGGACGCACTGCCATGGCCAGCGTCCTCCAGCCTGGCCACGGGCGCAGGGGCTGCCACCAAGCAGAGGTGAGGGGGGGTCCCAGGAGGGACGCGGCACCGGTGGGAAGCGACACTCGTTGGAGGCAATTTGGGGAGCTGACTGTGATCGCAGCAGCCATTTCTCGTGAGTGGTACTTCATGTCTCCAGCACAGCCCTGATTTCCCTGGAGAAGGCTGCCGCGTGGGTTTGGATTACCAGTCTCAGGATTTTTCAAGACAGCAGTTTGTGCCTGCTGCTTCTTAGACGTGAAAACATTCAAGGACCCCTTTGACGTTGCCTGCAGCGGTTTTGAGTGGAGGTAAGGCTTTCCAGCGCCACCGGCGCTCCGCTGCCCAGCTCTCGGGGGAGAAAATACCACGCTGCTCAAGGTGGCCGCGAGGACCCCAACTCCCAGCCTCGGTCTGCGGCGGGACCTTCCCC